ATGCATATATAGATTATGTAGAAACAGCTATATAACTGGGTGGGCTACAGCAGTAAAGCGCAATGGTGCATTAATTCTATTGAGACATTATACCTGTAAGCCATAATCTAAGGTGAATAATGAGCTTAAGAAATGCTCCACAAACTGCTGGTCTATTACACTAAGTATGCCATGATTGGTCTCAAGGGTAAAGGAGCAATCCACATCCTAGTAACAGCTATTCTATAGGAAGTCTGTATTGTGCATGTTTTCTTGAAGACACAATATTTCTTCTCTCCCGTAGTGTATTATATCTCTGCATGTGCTTCTTCCAAGAGAATTGTGTTAGAGGACAACGGCTGCAGCAGCCACCTAAATTGAAGCAGTCTGCTTTCCTGTAGTATGATGGTAATCAAAACAATTGGTTCGCTTGGAACCCGTGTAAATTGGGCTTTTGTGCTTGGAATAAGTTTAATGCGTTTGGCACTAATCAGCGCTATGAGCACTGTAGGAACGTGCTTTGGAATCAGGTTCTGGCATTCATGTGTAAGAAGCCTTAGGCAGCTGGAGACCTAACTGGCCAAAAATCAGTGTAGCTTGAGTAGCATTTGCTGATCAATAACTGAGAACAGATATAAAGTGGAATTCTATTGACCTCATATATTAGAGTGTCAGCAGCAAAGTTGGCCACACTGGTCACAATCTGTGCAAACTCTGTTCAATTTACCAACATTTTTTGATGCAAGGATCCATAAGGGGGGTACAGTTTGAATGGGTTGTTTGGGTACTGTAAACTGAAAGGAGGCTGTACAGAGAATAAACAATCAGATTTGAATGTGAATGACCAGCTTTGGAACTGTTTGCATTGACCAACAGTCAACAATTAGGTTCAGACCTCATATCCTGTCTTTTTCTGGGGTGGTTTGCATCTGAATAGGCAGCTTCTGATACACAAGGCCCACAAGATGGCTGCACATCATTAGGTTTTTGCCATACTGTTTGTACCATGGCATGTACAGTAATACCTCTGTTCATGAACTTAATTCATTCCACGACTCTGGTCACGAACCAAATTGGTCACGAACTGAGGCAAATTTTCCCATAGGGTTCAATGTAAATCAGGTTAATCCATTCTAACCCCTATGAATGTGGTTGCAAACTGAATTTGGTCGCCAACTGAATCAAATTTTCCCATAAGATTCAATGTAAATAAGGTTAATCAGTTCTGAACTTTTTATTTGTGTTTGAACCACAAAAATATGAAACAAAGTACAGTACAGTATGAAGAGAGAGAACACTAACCTTACTTGAGAGGACTTCTGGCATGGAGGATAGGAAGGTTGGTGGGAGGCGGTTATTGTTCAGAGGGAGAGGCCCCCTCCATAAGGACATTGGGGAGATTTCCTTCAGGGGTTTCCTCTCTTCTTTGTCTCTTAGCTGCAGGCTCAGTTTTGGTGAAAAATCTGTTTGTTTGTCAGTTGTCTTTTCCTGCGCTGCATAACCCTCCAGAAATGAGAGAACACATTATCGGTCATCAGATTCAACACTCTGTTCGGTACAGTTATGTTGGGGTGGTGCTTCTGGTCACATTCATTACCACACTTTCGTTTTAACAACATGCTTGCTCTGTACATTCTTGTCACCTTCATTGCCACTCTACACGTTCTTGTCACCTTCATTACCACTCTGCACGTTCTTGTCACCTTCATTACCACTCTACACATTCTTGTCACCTTCATTACCACTCTGCATGTTCTTGTCACCTTCATTACCACTCTACACGTTCTTGTCACCTTCATTACAGCTCTGCACATTCTTGTCACCTTCATTACCACTCTACAGCTTCTTGTCACCTCCATTACCGCTCTGCACATTCTGGTCACCTTCATTTCCACTCTGCGCTTTCTTTTCAACAACATGCTTGCTCTGCACATTTTTGTCACCTTCATTACCGCTCCGCACTTTCTTCTTACCACCATGCTTGCTCTGAATTTTCTTTGGAGCCATACTGGATGTCCAGTACAGTATGTGCTAAAAAGCACACAAAAAAGCTTTACAGTAAGTGTGTACAGGGATGTACAGTACTGTAGAGTATGTGCTAAAAAGTACACCAAAAAGCTTCTCAGTACTGTAAGTGTCTTCACAGTACACTTTCAGTGTCTGTAACCACGATCTCTCCTACAGGAAATCACAACCATATGTCAGAGCAGGGAAGATGGCCGCGGCTCATATTCGTCAACCAAAGTGGAGTTCGTGAACCGAAGCAAATTTTTCGAACTCTTCTGTTCGCGAACCGAGTTGTTCGTGAACAGAAGCATTCTTGAACCGAGGTATCACTGTATTAAACCACTGGACGCATTAGTGGCTGGCAAACTTAATATACTGTTTATGTCAAAAGAGAAATATGGAAGCTACCCTTGCTGAACAATCCTTCTAATGATTTTACTTACTTGGCTGGCCCTTCGACTTCAATACACCCATGACCCAGAACCACAATGCAGATATGGACGTCTCACTTTTTTCAAATGTTCTTGGCCTATATATTTGTTTTGGGTCATTGATTGTGAAAATATTAAAGTTAGCAGGTCAGGACAATGATCAGGTATCTAGTGGGGTTCAGCAATGGCAGCTTACATAGCTCTCATGATAGGTATACTTTAAATCATGTGGGCCTAACAAGTTTAATATTCTCCCCAAGTCCCTATGATCAAGATATTATCCCTACCATCATATTTCTTGCCATAGCAGGTTTCATAGTAAGTCACAGCAAGCATGGGAAGTATATATGGAGGCTCCCAAGTCACCAACAGCCACAGAGTAGAAAATCACACATGCAGACACACACAATCATGGTAAAAAATATTGGCACCCCTGCAGTTCTGTTAGATAATGCACCACTTTGCCCACTTTGTGTTGCAATCACAAATGTTTAGGCATTCTTGTGTTTATTTCTTTTGTTTGTATTGGTATGGCACAAAAAAGTGGAGAAACCAAAAGCCAAATATGACACATTCCATGCAAAACTCCAAAATTATTGGCACCTTCTCAAAATTGTAAGAAATAATTGCAATCCAAGTTTGTAATGCTCCTGTCATTTGTAATTAAACTCACCTGTATCATTTAACAGACCTTATTGTTCCTGTGTCCACTGCGTGCAACATTGTCAAGAAGTTTACAGCCCATGGCACTGTAGCTAATCTCCCTGGACGTAGACGAAAGAGAAAAACTTGATCAAAGACTACAACGAAGGATTGTTCGGATGGTAAATAAAGAACCTTGATGAACTTACAGAAAAATTCAAGCTGACCTTTAGACGCAGAGTGCAACTATGTCAGCTCACACTATACGTTGCAATCTGACTAAAAAGGGATGCTATGGTAGGACACCCAGGAGGACCCCACTGCTGACACAGAAACATGTAAAAGCCAGATAGGTAAGTTTCCTGAGGAAACCAAAATCATTCTGGGAGAATATGCTGTGGACAAACGAAACAAAATTACATAGTGGCAGATCACTTATGTTTTGGGGTTGCTGTGCTGCTTCAGGCACTGGATGTTTTGACCGTGTGCATGGCATTATGAAATCTGAAGACTACCAAAGAATTCTGGGGTGCAATGTAGGGCCCAGTGTCAGCAAGTTGGGTCTCCGTCAGAAGTCATGGGTCTTACAGCAGGATAATGACTCAAAATACACATGAAAAAACATCCAGACATGGCTTAACACAAAGTGCTGGAGAGTAGTGAACTGGCCAGCAATGAGTCCAGATCTCAATCCAATCAAGCACCTGTGGAGAGATCTCAAAACAGCAGTTGGGAAAAGGAAGCCTTCCAATCTGAGAGATCTAGAGTAGTTGGCGAAAGAAGAGTGGTCCAGAATTCCAGTAGAGAAGTGTAAGAGACTGATGGTTATAGTAAGCGATTGATAGTTTTGTCCAGTCCATTTCTGGAGTTTTGCATGGAATGTGTCAGATTTGGCTTTTTGTTTCTCCCCTTTTTTGTGTCATATCAATACAAACAAAAATAAATAAACATGAGAATGCCTAAACATTTGTAATTGTAACAATTTTCTGGGCAAATTGGTGCATGATCTGTTAGAAATGCAGGAGTGCCAATATTTTTGTCCATGACTGTACACATACACATTTAGGCCTCTTACACATGGTACTGTTGTTTGAGCATCTGTTTTTTTTAATGTAATTTTAGGCATTTGTTTTGCGTGTATTTGTGAGCATATGAGTGTTCGCGCATTTCCGCGCACAACATATTCTTAGGGGAAAATCATTAATATTTATGCTCATATGCATATATTTGTTCGTGTTTGCACCCAAATGCACTAATGTGGCGTAAATTACTGACCAAAAATGCCTGCGTGCAAAGGCACATTGTAAATAATGGGCTACATTTTACCTCAGTAAAAAAATATGCTGTAGTGAACTTTCTCAAGCTGACTGCGGATAGAAGGGTGATACCACGACTCTGGAAATCAGTAGATGTTCCCACACTAAATCATCTTTTAAGAGCGATCCCTGAAATCAGGGAGATGGAATATCTTACAGCTCTAGTGGGTGAACGCTTGGGTCATTTTCACTCTATTTGGGAATTATGGGATCATTCTCCCTTTGGTAGACATCCTTCCTCCCCCACCTTATATAGTCCAGACACTTTTCCAGGTAACATGCCTTTGACAAATAATATACCCAATGATGTACAGGTTTATGTTGATTATATTTTTGAATTGTACAGACTACCATGCTGTTTATCTCTGTTCATATTTCTCCTGATTTAGTTTTCTTTTATATTAATGATGGTTTTCTCTCATTGCAACGTTTGCACTTAAAGTGTTGTTGTTGTAACTATGTTATGTTTAACCGTCTCCCGCCCGCCATATAGTAAAATGACGGACGCAAGGCGGTTCTCTCGTTCTGGGAGGATGTCATATGACATTCTAACCGCACATGCGCAGCTCCAGGAGCACGCAGCATGGCGATTGGCGGTGCGCTGTGACCCTCGGACACAGCGGATCACCGATCAATGAAAAGAGCTAAAGATGTCGGCTCAGTCATGTGATCAGCTGTGTCCAATCACAGCTGATCACATGTAAACAGGGAAATGCCGGTTGTCGGCATTTCTCTCCCCACGAGCTGTCACGCTGACAGAGGAGAAGAAAGCCGGTAATCGGCATTCCTCGGAGGGGACATGTACACTGATCATCAGAGTACTGATGATCAGTGTGCCCTGATGATCTGTGTAGCCCCAGCAGCGCCACCTGTCAGTGTCCACCAGCTCTCAGTGCTCATCCATGCCACCTTCCAGTGCCACATCAGTGCCACATTTTAGTGCCCATCAGTGCCACATCAATGCCAAATATCAGTGCCCATCTGAGCTGCCTTTCAGTGTCACCCATCAGTGCCAGTTAGTGCCACCTATCAATGCCAGTCAGTGCCACCTATCAGTGCTGCCAATCAGTGCCACCTATCAGTGCCAGTCAGTGCCGCCTATCAGTGTGCATCAGTGCCGCCTAACAGTGCCAGTCAGTGCCACCTAACAGTGCCAGTCAGTGCCGCCTATCAGTGCCATATATGAGTGCTGCCTTTCAGTGCCCATCAGTGATGCCTTTCAATGCCCATCAGTGCCGCCTACCATTTTGCATACGAACAACTGATTTTCTATGTTGTGGTATGACAGTCATCTGAAAAAAATCTATCAAGCGCTATCACGCATGAGCAGAAACAGAAGATGACTAGGATGTTTATGTCCAAGGAATCTTCGTAAACACGAATGAAAAATCCAAATGTTAAAAGTAGATTGGCCTAATGAGATAATGAAACCAGAATGATGCATATTATATTTTTATGTATCACTATTTATGTATATATGTAAGGTAATAAACTATATTATACATTGCTGTTAATTGTTGTGTATATCGTTCGTTCTGCCCGGAAGGGCATGGCTACAAGGTCACACACACACCGCCGCATCATTTCCACTTGTACGGAAGACGTCAACACTACGTATTGCCCGCTGAACGATTTTTTTTTTTTTTAGATTGGTTAATGTGGGCCAGGATTTTGACCAACGAACGAACGCCTCTTGTTTGTCGGATGACCGATCGGTCGATTTTCTAATCGTGTATTCCAACCTTAAGTCTCCATCTATTTCACTATCTTACATTTAACATACATTAATGCTGGGATATATAACTGATGTGGAATAAAAAGTCTATTAAATGGTATAGGTGACTGAAAACCTATGTAAATACATATATATATATATATATATATATATATATATAGACATTACCGTGGCAGACATAGAGGCTTGACGTAGCACGTAGCTCATATATCGGGATATTTCCTACACAAATCAGCCCTTTGCATACTGTACATGTCTCTGTGTCATGTTACCTCAATTTACCCTGCTAATGTTCTTGCATTGGGCTCGCTGTAACCTTCCCTCTGTGCCCTGGGGCTGTGACAGCCATTCACTGAGAACATTGTCTGAGCTTCTATGTGAGGCTGTGGGTGTTTTTGTCATGTTCATTATTTAGCCGCAAAATATTTGTCTGTGGTTCCAAAGAATGTTCCATTTATTGCTGAAAACAACCAGAAAGCAGAGTAAAATTTCCATAACTCTGTACAAGTATTGTGTACACAGCAAACACATCACCTCCAGCTACGGCTCACCAATACCAACCTTACATGACAGCCAAACCTGCTGACAGCACATCTCTCAAACGTGTCATGAAAAGATAAGAATTCACCTGGGAAGAAGCAAATGTAAATAATATCTGAAACAGAGAACCTGCTGGAATGATACAAGTATGTTTTAAGCCAAAAGCAGTGAAATCCATATGATATATAGTGCATAGTTTTGTAACATTCTTCTATAGCTGCAAACGTTCCATAGAACATGACTTTGTGTATTATTTTATGAAGCATTGCCATCCTTAAAGAAGAACTCTCACAAGTGTTTAAAATTGAACTACAGGTCCATAAATTCATGTAATAATATTCATCTTTTTCCAGGCAAACATTAATGGATGGTGAAGAAAATCCCTTTCTTTTAGTTCCCACATTCCTGCCTGTCAGCTCCTTCCCTGCTAGAAGCCTGATTTGTGGGCATTCCCCCAATTATTTCAGTTGCCACAGTCCCCTCTATTCAATGAGTGCACCTATGGGGAGTATTGCTGTTGTGTACACTGACCATTGCCCTAACCTGCTCCCACCTGTCTTCTATGGCAGGACTAAATGTGGAACCTAGCTCCCCTCTTCCAATCACTGTTTGTCTTTCTACGGTTCAGGTCAGTCACCCAGTGTTATTGGCTGCAAAATTATAGGCAGCTGGATTGCACAGCATCATTGGTTGCTTTTATGCTGGTGGCTGAGCTGCCTGCACCATGGAGATACATGATGCCGTGCTGCCCAGCTGCTTGCATCCTAGCAATCGCAGGGAGGCTGATCTAGCTGACCCACAGTTAGGGTCAGGGGGTGGAACATAGTGAAGGGGAGCTGGGTCTATGTGTCTTGGGGACAGGGAAGGTTACTGGCAAGCTGTCTGACATGCCCCTGAATTCCTAGTGACAGCACTTGAGTAAGCGCTTGGAGCTGTCAATCAAAGCTCATTTGTTTTTCATCAACTTGCTAGCTGTGTGGTCGGAGAGCCGTGAGTGGGAATTTTCCTGTCCGACCACAGTGCTTGTCTTGTTGAATCCACTATGTAGAAAGACTGGATGGAAAATACATGAAATGTGTCACTTTGGGGACAAGAGAATTAAAAAAAATAAATAAAGTGAACCTTTGATAGTTACATAGGTCATGATTAGGCCTTAAGCACACAGGGTGTTTTTGCAGCCACTTTTAGGGGCATCAGACTTTTTTCGTTTACTGCTTGTAAAAGCCCCTCCATGTTATCCTATGGGGGTTATTTACTAAAATTGGAGAGTGCAAAATTTGGTGAAGCTCTGCATAGAAACTAATCAGCTTCCAGGGTTTATTGTCAAAGCTTAACTGAACAAGATGAAGTTAGAAGCTGATTGTCATTTTTTTTTACTGCTTGTAAACGCCCTCCATGTTATCCTATGGGGGTTATTTACTAAAATTGGAGAGTGCAAAATCTGGTGCAGCTCTGCATAGAAACGAATCAGCTTCCAGGTTTTATTGTCAAAGCTTAAACAAGATGAAGTTAGAAGCTGAAAGACTTTTTTGTTTACTGCTTGTAAACGCCCCTCCATGTTATCCTATGGGGGTTATTTACCAAAATTGGAGAGTGCAAAATCTGGTGCAGCTCTGCATAGAAACCAATCAACTTCCAGGTTTTATTGTCAAAGCTTAATTGAACAAGCTGAAGTTAGAAGCTGATTGGCTACCATGCACAGCTGCATAAGATTCTGAGTGCACCAGTTTTAGTAAATCTACCTGTATTTGCATACATAGATTTTTAGAAGCATTTAGTGGTGGGAATGTTTACAGGCAGGAAAAAAAACTCAGAGCCAGTGCGTCCAGGAACAGCAGCATTTTAGCAGAAAAAACTAAACGCGCGTTAACGCTAGGAGAGCTAAGCACTTGAGTGCAAATTCATTTAAAAGACCAGAATAAATTATTATTCTGGCCAATGAAATTATTTAACACCCAAGAGCTTGACACCTGTAAACACGCCTAAAAACTTATATAAAAGTGTAGAGGACACTCTTACAAGCATTCTTAGGGATCATGTACACTGCAGCTGCTAAACTGACGTTCAGGAGCTGTTCAGCATTTCTTTCAGCAGCCCCTGAACTTTCCCTAATGTTTTCCTATGGGTCCATGTACACATAGTCGTTTACAGTCGTTTACAGGCTGTTGAGTTTACAGTGGTTTTTTTGAACGTACCAAACTTGCGTTCAGAAGTAGATTTTACCCGCGTTTCAAATGCCAAATGCTTGTAAATACATGTAAACGTGGTTAACCGCATTTATAAGCGTTTGCGTTTAGAAGCGTTTTTTAACTATTCCATGTCCAGATACTGTCCAGAGCCTTTTATCCTCATCAGAAATGCATGCAAGGTGTTTTCCATGTATTCAAATGGACCCAGTACACCAGCGCAGTCAGTTCCAGGTTTTACGTGAAGGAAACAATGGTAGAAACGTGCTGCATTATGCTCATGATGGGATCCATAGTGAATACAACCAGAAAAGACAGGTAATCTCAAAACATACTACTCTCTCTTCGTCTGCTCTCTCTATTTCTCTCAAAATGTATAAAATAGTACATTTTTAGTGCATTCTGGGCATTTGGGAAGGTCTCCTGAGGTTATCTTTAAAAAATGCTTCTAAACGCAAATGCGCATAAACGCGGTATGCAAACGCGGCTAAACAGATGTTTTTTATCCTACGTTTTCCAGCAGTTAGTTTCCATCGTTCAGAAGAGTTTTCCAAACGCCCGTGTACATGAGCCCTTATCTGCCAAACCATTGTTGCCAAGAGGAGGAGAGTTTTTAAAACGTTCTGTGTGCATGAGGCATTATATTTACACATCTCAACAAATACTACTGTTTGGAGTAAACTGAACTTTTATGCTTCTCCACATTCTATTATTATTATATGTACTTATATAGCGTTGTCAATTTTATGCAGCGCTTTACATTTTACATTCACATCAGTCCCTAATCCTCAAGGGGTGTACAATCTAAGGTCCCCAACTTACAATCACACATACTAGGTCAAATTTAGACAAGATCCAAGTAACCTACCACAATGTCTTTGAAATGTGGGAGGAAACCAGAGGGAACCCACACAGGCACAGGGAGAACATGAAAACTCCAGGCAGGTGGTGCTGTGGTTGGCATTTGAAGCAACAACCCCTAGTACCCTAGTACTAGCCACTGTGCTTCCCTACACAAATAGACATCATAAAAATTTCCTGTATAAAGCAAACCATCCCTAGGATTTCCTATCCTCTCTTGTAACAACCATTGAGCCAATGTAGAAACCCTCTCTCCCCAAACATCAAAGAGGAATGCTAAACATTCCTGACATGAGTATGCCGCCTTAGGGGGCAGCCCTTGCAAACCTCCATTGTTTAACAGTTTGGCCATATTGGATGTGGCCCAAGAGGTACCTCAAGGGGTCCCCAGTGGATTACCAGAATTTTAAGGTCCATTTGTGTTTTCTTAGTCAAACATTTAAGTTTTTTGCTAAAACTATTTTTAAACCCTGCATTTTTTTCTTATTCCTGGGACTGTTTTCACAGGAGGACACCTTCCTCCTTTAGGGAGATTTCTTCTAACATCCTGTTGTGTCTGTGTTCATGGATTATAGCATACAATTTGGGAAGTAAAAGCCAGATGAACAATCTGGCTAGTTTCCATTCATTCCAAAACTAGCAAAATGGTTTGGCTGTAATTCCAGTTGAATAAGAATTAACTGCTAACACTACCTATAAATGAATATTTACCTCTAAGATCTTCTGAGATCTTTATTCCGAGATAAAACACTTTGGGTAAACATGGTGGTAAAGATAGATACCACACTCACAAAAAGCTCCTCAAGCTGAAAAAGTATAATCAGGTAAC